TTTACGGTGTATAATCTTGTTTTCTTGTGCCCAATAATGCTATAATTTCATTTGATAAACACGTTTAGATTGAATGGTAATTTATAATCAGTCACAAGAACGTCGAATCTGAATCACTTGAAAAAAACACGGGGGTGCTTAACTTTTTTCCAGGTGTATATATGATTGTTGGGATAAATATTGAAATTGGACGACAACTAAAGGCATCCCATGTGAATGTTCCGAGGAAGTATTGTGAATAAGTTATTCATTTTAAACATAGATACTGTATTTCCGAGTATTGCACATTGAAGCTTTTGATATTAAATTAAAGAAGAAGAGGACCTCTCACGTAAACAGTTATATAAATTATGAAGTAATTTTTCCTAATTATAATTTTAGGTGAATATTATGAAAAATATTAATCGCCCCCGGGTGGGCTCGAACCACCAACCTTTCGGTTAACAGCCGAACGCGCTAGCCGATTGCGCCACGGAGGCTGTAGGACAAAGTAGTTTCTGAGTTTATTTATTTTTAAAATAAATCCACTAACTTTATTAATGTGTGGTAGTTTTGGTAACAAAGATTTCTAAGTATTTCTTCATAAAGTAATCATATAAGCACATTTGTAAATTTTATATTGAGTTTGAAATGCTAATCCATTAATAGTATTAACAGCTAAACAAATATTAGGCCTAAGACTAGTTGACATAAATTTCGGTGTCTGTGATTAGAATTATTTTGTATTACATCAGGCAACAAAAACTGTTTCGGAGAGACTGGATACTGCTAATTCCAAAAATCATCTTGAAAATTACTGATCGTCTCTAGTTTTCGAGTTATGAAAGATTTATTTTAAAAATTCTTATATATCGTAAAAATATTTTTTTCTTTAAGAACTTTATTTATTCATTAAAAATTGAATGTGTTGGGTATAGTCAGTGTTAGGAGTAGTCCCTTTGTACGTTGTCAGCCAAACATCTGCATCAGCTTATACAGTATGTGGACACTGTACACTGGTCTCCCACTATTACACAACTCTCATTTATGGCTCCAAGTATCTGTCAGTGCACACCATGGGACTTTGCCTCGACTGGCGTGCTAAACTAAGTAAGGGTATCGGTAGTTCTGGACTGAACAGTCGTACAGGGGACGTCACCCCTTAGGTGCACGAGGACTGGAGCGGCAGAAGAAGAGGAGGAACTTGAATGTCGGATGGCGCGACAACAGGATGGTAACACATCTAGAGCACATTCCTGACGGAAAAGGACTAGTGGCCAGTTACCTTGGAAGATATTTAGGCCTCACCATGTACGATCCCATGGATACTCATGATTCTTAGACATAGAAATGTTGGTGGAAAGCGAGCCCTACTAGAGGGTCAAATAGAAGGGAAAAGATACAGAGGAAGACCAAGAACAGAGTAGATAACAAATATTAAAGGGTGGACTGAAATAGTAAAATATGAAGATCTGGTGAGAAAGAAATAGAACAGACAGAAGTGGAGGATTGTGACAGCCAATCTTCCTGGGGAAGACGGCACATGATGATGAAAAATTGAATCTAAAAACGTTCAAAAACAATACATAATAGCTATACTAGTTTAGAAAGGCAACGAGTGTAATAATTTACTAAAGATACACTCAGGCTATGTTCAAAACTTTCATTATAGTATTATTACGCCTTTCGTGTATTATCTCAGTTTAACGCCGTAAGAACCAACAGTAATCTTCCATCATCGCTGGATTCCATCGTCCTTGTTATTGTTGTTTCATTGAATAAATATCTTGATGGAAGTGCTCACCATATAACTGCACCTTGATCGTTTGGAAAGAAGTATAGATGGGAATGTAGGAAGCGTATCTTTAGTGACATCCTAGACCCCATTTTCAAGTAGTTCTCGAGCATATCATCAATCATCATAGCACAGTTTTCATCTCTATGATTTCCTAACAAAATTTTCACAACCAGTTTGAATGATTTCCAGGCTGAAAGTTATTTTTGATTGAGCACTATTTCAAAATCATCATTCATCAGTACCTCCCGAATCTGTGCCCCCCCCCCCAAAAAAGAGATCTCCTTTCATTTTTGCTTTACTGGTTTTTGAAAACTTGTCAGACAGATATCTGAAACTATTACCATCTTTGTTAATTCCTATTAGAAGATTCTTCACGAGTCCCAGTTAAATATGAAGTGGGGCAGAACAGGCCCGTACGCAGGTTGAAAGGGAGTTCTAATTTGTGAGATCGAAACCCAACATTTTGTGCGAAGCATGCTAATGCTACGGAGATTTTGGGGGCATATCTACTGAAAATTTGCAAAAAAATTAAATGCTACGAGATAAAATCTGGAAGCAATTTTGCACGAAGTATAGCTTAAACAATTCCATGGCTGTTCGTAAAAAAAATTCACAACATCCAATGAAAAGTCAACAAATCATAATTCTGTTGTAACACTGCATGGGGAGCTAGACTTAAATTAGCATAGATATATATGTTTTATTACAGTAAGATAGTATACTATCTACATGCAGAGTAGTTATTAATTGTTAAATTATATTAATAATTGAGCTATTTCAATCATTAGCTATCATATATTAGCATGCTCCATTCTTCTGGGGTGCTCTTAAATATATAACTTACAATCAGCTTCAATGTTGATAGCAGTGGCATAATGATTATGTATTAAAACTAGTGCACTCAGTCTTTCTTTGGTGCCCCTCTCCCCGGCACGTCTGTGCTCTTACAATGCTAGAAACAGGGTTTCGATACACGTGGTAGGCAGAGCACAGAAAGCCCATTGTGTAGCGTTGTGCTTAACTTCAAACAAAATAAAAAAATTTCGATCATATGAACTTAGTGACAGTATTTTTTAACATCACAAAAAAAAGGGGGTTCAGTCGAAACCCCTCTACCACTGCGCACGTGCGTGAATATACTCCACCTTTAAGTTTATTTTTACTCTGGGTAGGAGATAATTGTTGTTTTTCTGTTGAAGATACATTTCATTAAAGTTCTAACGTTTTAAACATGAGTGTTTCTAGAAAAGAAGCACGATCGGACATTGCACACTTAATTTTGCATTAAAATTCGCACTTTTTTTTTTTACGTGTTTCAAAAAATGATTTTTCATCGTAACTCTCAAAGTTTATGCTTGATTTGTCATGAAAATTCAGGCCTGTTTCGATTTTAGTTTATTACTGAGGAGCACTTGAATAATAGAAAATAGGAATTATCAATCAAATTTCCAAAATCTACAATATCAATATGGTTTCTTTCCAAACATTGTCCGCCTTAAGACTGTTTTTACTCTAAAAAAAAACTGTTTCCTTTTTAACTTTTGAAGAGAGAATAATATTTCTCATAAAGACTTGTAACGTTTTAGTCACGAGTTTTTTCTATAAAGTTAACACAATCGGGCGTTTCACACTTAATTTTGCATTAAAATACGCACTTTTTTGCGTATTTCAGAAAAACGATTTTTTTCATCAAAATTACCTGGAAATATTTCAAAAATTTCGGGAAATTTTTTTTTTCCGAGTTATTCGATTAAAAAAAAAGGTGCATTTAATATATGCTTTTCAAAATGAATCTTCTTTCATCAAAACTCCCAAGATTTGTCAGGAATATTCCCGATAGTTTCGATTGTATTCCTGAGGAGAATTTAAACAATAGAAGGACTTGGAAAAATAGGAATTTTCATTCAAAATCCCTAAATATGTAAAGACATTACGACTTCTTTTCAAATTTGGTCCACTTTTTCTAGTTTTTGAAGCGACATAATATTTTTCATTAAAGTTTTCGTTTACAAAGTCACAGCCGTATATGATAAGTAACGAAACCCAAAATGTGTTTTATACAATCGTTATTCCAAATGTACAAAACATAATTAGTAACCTTTAGTTCAAATCCCTTGGAACTAGGGGGTGGTGGTGGTGAGTCAAACATCTAGCTTCTGTCGATTTATAATAACAGGAGCCAAGTAGTAAAAATACTTAGAACTTAGAGCAGACCTGGACAGTAGAACAGATTACAGTGATGAATGAGTTAGTTTTGAATTTCGTGCAAGCCGTCCCTAATTTAGCATTGAAATAGTAGAGGGAAGGCAGCTAGTCATCACCACCCACCGCCAACTCTTGGGCTACTCTTTTACCAACGAATAGTGGGATTGACCGTCACGTTATAACGCCCCCCACGGCTGAAAGGGCGAACATGTTTGGTGGGGACGAGGACTCGAATTGCAGGTTGTGCAACAACTTTAAACAAATAATGGCTGGAGACGGCTTGAATGGGTAATGAAGAAAAACTTTAATATAACAGCAAATGTACAGCGTTTCGACAAGGTTTTGTCATCCTCAGGAATATGATGATGACAAAACCTTGTCGAAACGTTGTACATTTGCTGTTATATTAAAGTTTTTCTCCATTACCCATTCAAGCCGTCTCCAGCCATTATTTGTTTAAAGTTGTTGCACAACCTGCAATT